GCCACGGCCTTGATACGCGATATGATCTCCGTGAACTTGCTGATGTTGTAGGTGACGCAGCTGATCTTCCGGCCGAGCGCGACAGCGGTGACAACCGGGTCGAGGACGGTGCGGTGGTTGCAGACGAAGAGGACGCCCGGCTGGCTCTTTCTGGGCGGCGGCGAGTGTGAAGGAGACAAGACCTATCAGAGCGAACGGGAAAATGCTTAGGGTTAATTTTTATTTATTATATTTATTGTTGATTTACCCTTTTACCCTTAATGAATTCTATTGTTATTATAACAACACTTAAGGTGTTGTTATACTATCCGCACCCGTCAATGAATCTTCTAAAGGGAATCTTCAGGAGTGGGCTAATGCATGTCTTCGTATATGTGATATCGATGGGTTGTTTAGAGATGTGATGTCGATGGCCTCGATTAATAACTAAAAATGAAATCTGCCAACTTGCAAGACTCAGTATGTATATATTTTGCTTTAGTAAGATTTGAAGGAGAGCATGATGCTATTTTTTCTTTTTGTGTTTGCATGCAGTTCTCAAATTAATATCCAAGGTTTTCAGTACGGTTTAGTGGTAATGCTCTAACCTTGATTTTGCTCCAAGTAATAGTGAACTTTTATCTTTTGCTATTCGTTGTAAATAGCAATTATGTAATGTTATTGCTCATGCGCGAAGTGTAGCGAGCGGGTCTTTGCTAGTACCATGCAAAAAACAAATTGAATACACGTGTACCCACCAATTGTATCGGGCTTCCAAGCCACTCGGGCAGAGAACACAAAGGCCAGAAACTGGTTTTCCCATGCAAGCAGCTTGTTGTGCAACTTCAAACGATCATTCACCACCAACCAGAGAATAAACTCATGCTTAAGGACTACATATATATCCCATACAAGTCTAGCCAAACTTTAAAGGATCATTCACCACCTACTCTACTATGCATGTAAAGAACAAACAAACAAAGCAAGCAAGGCAACAAGCAATGAAACTAATTTTTAGATAGAAATTATAGATGGTCATGCATACAATCTCCTCAATAAGATGCATCTATGCATCATCTATTATGATGCCATACCCCATCATCTAAGGCCACTCTCTACCCGTTCATGCGCCTCTTCGAATAGAGATTTGACAAGTTAATGAGTGCTTTCGCTTCATAACATCACCTAATCAATGAAGAACAAAGAAGTTAGGATAGTATTTGATTAATTGTGGGCTTCTACGAACCATAATTGATGCTCTATAGCATCGATGATCTAAGAATCAAGCATTGATCTTATGTACAGATGCGTCCAACTAATCAAGCATACACAAGGCAATGGGATACCACTAGATGATAATTTCTTGACCACCTAAATTATATTAAGCATGAAAGAAAAGAAGCATCATCATAGAGTCGCACACATAGACTATTAAAACATCATATGAAATAAAGCATCGATGATCATAATTCATACACAAGAGATGATTAAGCATCTAAAATTCAAACCAATCCTTCCTTATCCTACTAGAAGTCAGTTTCCCTCGACTTGGGGACGAAGCTACTTGTTGAAGAAGATTTCTGGAGATGATATAAGTCGAAGCATTAATTCCTGGACTTGAACAATCAGAAACGCATCAAAGATTTATCAGAATCAAAACGATCACAAAGCAGCTAACAACCCAAACCTAATCCACACGTCAGGAAGAGGGCCAGGTATATGAATGACTATTCGACTAGGGTGATGAGCTAGCAGAAAACATCAGGTTCTTCTTGCTGAATAAATTCCATGACCAAGAAATAAGAAGAAGAAGAAGAAGAAGAGAAGTTGGCGTATGAACAACCAATTCAACGATTTGTATTTCTGAATAAAATTGTTGATTTTTTTCCTGTAAAAGACTTAGTTCAGCTCCTTATATAGGCTATATATGCAAGTTGTGAATCGATTGCACGAGAGTGAATCGATATTATGCTCTGTACTGGATTCAAAACCTAGTAATGTATGTCCAATTGAATTGCCTTGATATTTTATTCTGGTTGAGGATAATCTCCCTCTAGATACTCTATTCAAGAGGGTCTAGATTTATTTAGTCGAGATTTCAGACTATCTCGGACTTTCCGCAGTTTAAATGTCAATTGAAATGAATTAAGGAGAATTATAACTATCGACTCGGGGGACACATAATCGAGTGACCTTTTGCATCTGAATCGAATCAACATATCTTAGCATTTTCCTCTTAGTATTAGTAACCTTCACTACAAATCGAATATTGGATAACAAGATCGATCACTAAGTAATAGTAATTCTAGGGCCCTGGGTTAACAAGTAAAGTTTTGATCCACTATACTACATCCTAAGTCGTGGTTTAAACTTGCAAACTTCTTAATGTTGTTAAAGATGAGTCAATAGTCGATACAAACTCTCCATCTTGTCACCATCCTTGTGGGTAAGCTAATTCTTATCATTGGCCACCACCATCATGCCTTCAATCTTGGGTACCACCTGGTTGGGCTAAGCCACTCACTATCCCAAATCGGATAGATGATACCGGCTTCTAGAAGCTTGATCACCTCTACTTTCAGCACCTTCTTCATATGATGATTCAATCGACATTGAGGTTGCACTACCAGCTTGTTGTCTTCTTCCATGGGAATATTGTGAGAGCAAAAGGAGGGTTTGATCCCTTGATGTCACTGATCTTCCAAGCTATTGTCTTTTCATGCCTCCTTAGTAGCTCCACCAGTCTCTCCTTCTACTCGGGTGTGAGATCAGAGCTAATAATCACTGGAAGCTTGTCACCCTCCCTAAAAAATGCATACTCAAGGTGGCTAGGAAGGGGCTTGAGCTCCAGCTCTGGTGGCTCTTCTAAGGTTATGGTGATCCTTTCATACTAGTGCAAGTTTAATATGTTCTATTATGTTGGGTTCTGATATGAATCACAAGCGTCCGGTCAAATCGAAGTGTCGGATTCGCATCGCATGAGGGTTTTGGATCGTCAATTAGAGAGCGCGTTTGAGGAGTTTGCGTTGGCAGATGGAGTCTAACGTGGAGCTCGGATGCTGTCTCTCGTCTCACTCTATAATGTCAACTGACGTTAGCGACACTACAATCGTGATTGACATGATAACATATCGATTAAATTATTATTTCACTAACTTGCCCAAAAAAATAACCCAAACAATTTCACAAACTATGCTAAAAAATTGATTCATAAGTAATTATCTCTTCTTAATCTTAGTTCTTACTTCTTACCCACACGTTAATTTTAGGTTGAAAAAAGATAATATTTTCGGTACGTAAATTCTACGTTTCACAATAAAAAGATAATTACCATATGTTTTAAAAAAAACTTACCTACATTTTGAGACAAAGTAAGGTGATATAAAGAGCAAAAACGAAAGAGGAATGATACAATGGACAGAGAATGGAAGAAGAAAAGGAGATAGAGTGGAAGAAATAAAGAAAGAAAATAACAATAAAAAAGGAAAATAAGTAGCGCCCCTTTTCCCTCCGATTTGGAGGGTCGCTACTCGCTTTGCACATTGACTTCTCTATCCATTTTCTTTCCTTTGTCACTGTTGCAGCTCTTACACTATGTTCATTTAGGAGAGAAAAGGAAGGAGAGGGAAAAACTGAGGGGAATATTACATTCTCGAGAAGGTTTCCTCCGTTTCCGAACGTTTCAACAGGACGGAGGGGAGGGAAAAGCGACGAAAATGGAACTGTTCCACTAGTCCCTCCGATTTGGGCGGAAAGTCCGACTTACCTTTCCTTTTTTTCTTTTTATTATTTTTCTTTTCAATTTGGTTTCGTTTCCTTCTCTGGCGGGGGGTAATATTTTGTCCACTTTTTAATCCTGTTTTTTCTCTTCATTAATTTGGTTTCCTTTCTTGATATTGTTTGCATAAATTAGTCACGAAAAAAATGAAATTAGCAAAGTGATACTAACATAAAATCATTCTTTATCTTGCCTCGTTAATTATTCACGAATTATTAATGGAAATAGTAAATATTACCATAAAATATTGTTTTGGACCATATGACACCAAAGCGAGTATAATGTGATTCGATCGTGAATTTTATAATTGTTAAAGAAAAATGGATTAGTTTGATATTTGGACCGGACCAAATGAGTGATTTATGTCATGTATAACGTACGCAATATATAAAACTGTTAGGTGAGATACAAAAGTGTGTTACATTCAAAAATGGCAACATAGTGTAAAATTTTTATTGAATAAATGTCATCTTAGACAACCGAGGTAATACAATTTTTATGGAATTTTTTTTTAAATCGAGTTAAAATGAACGAGATTTTTAATAGTAAATCAAATTAGTAAAAAAGAATAAATTTTCCACTATTTATAAGTAATAGAAATAACATCAACACATAATTTTAATTAGTTTACTATTACATACCCAATAAACTAACATATATATCGCACTTTCCAATATACTTTTTTTCTCTCACTTTCTCTTTCACTTTCCTCAATAAAATAACATTTTCTCTCTCTCCTTTTCCGTAACCTCCAAATTTTCCTTTCTCTTCATTTTCTTTCATTCCTTCGGAAACAGAGTGTTAAAGAACAGGGGAAAGGTCATCGAAAGCTGTGTTTTCCGCCCATAAATTCTCTTCCCTCCCTTTTCCCTCCTTCGGGAACGGAGGGAAAATAAAACTAACCAACTTCTAACTCTAAAAACAAATTAACCATTTAGTATTTAATTAAGAGGAGGTACAGTGGCATGGATAGTCTCTGCTAAGCTACTCATCAACCCTTAATTGGTTACTTAGTTTAGTCGGATGGTGTTGCTTGAGTTAGTGATGTTGGCTGGGACAGCTGTCTTGAGATTGTCATTGAGATGAGAACAATATATTACTGTACAACTGTTAGGTTCCATTTCATGGTAGCCAAGTTCAAGAAGTAGCAATGAACGATTACATGGGGGACAAAACACTTGACGTCCCATTTCCTTCAAACTACTATAATGGCTCCATCATATAACACGCAGGTGGGCTTGCAGTAACAATACATAAATCAATATGAAAGCCGCTGCGGCGCGCGGCCATCATCACTCTAGTATAAGTTGAAAACCAGTAATAATTTGTTTGATCATAAATGAGTGACTTGTCAAGCATTATTACTCCACAACGAATGCAAAATATCATACAAGAATCAAGATCAACTATCAAATTCAAACATATGGATTATGACAGGAAACATAATGACCACCAAAAAGAACAAAAAACCAATAATATTACTGCTAGTCCAATCTTATCTCCCTATTATATTGGCTCACACTACAAAGAGAACATAATTGGCCCACAAAATGGATCACAAGGGATAGAAGTGACGAGAACGCTTTGGCAACAAAAAAGAAAAGTGACAAGAACCAACAATGTTGGATAACTGAGAAATATGGAAGAGACGTGAACTAACACCCCAGCAAGCCAACACACACACAAAAACGAACAAGGCAGGGGAGAGTGGGGACTCTGAGTCTGAGGGGGACTAGAATGACCTGATAGTCTTAATCAGCTTATCCAGATCATTGAATGATGAACCACCTTTCCTGGTCCCAATCTCCACTCTTGCCTTCAACTCCACCGCTCTTTTCCTCATCTCCATCCCTTCTTTCTCCACCATCAGCCTTCTCACGGCCGCCGCCACCTGTTCCCTCTCCAACTCCTCCTCCAGCTGCATGCCCACCTTCCATACATGGGTCACATACCTCGCAGTCACCTTCTGATCGGCGAAGTTGGGCCTGCAAATCAAGGGAACCCCTTCAGCAATGCTCTCGACAGTAGAGTTCCATCCGCAATGGCTCCAAAACCCTGCTACGGCCTTGTGTGCCAAAATTTCCTTCTGTGGCGCCCACTGCACGATCCGCCCTCTTTCCCCGACGCCTTCTTTGAACCCATCAGGCAGCGACTCTTGAATATTACGTGTTCCACGTACCAGGCCGGGTCGAACAACCCACAGGAAGGGAAGTTTGGACTTTGTTAGTCCCCATGCCATCTCGGCCAGCTCGTGCTGGCTTATGCAGGCCAGGCTCCCCAAGCTCACGTAGATCACCGACTTCTCTGCCTGCTTGTCCAGCCATGGGATGCAGCTGTAGTCCTCCTTTAGTAAGCTGGTGGAGAGCTGCGGGGCGAATTTGTGCATCGGTCCCACCGTGAAGATTGGAACTTGGCATTGCTGCTTCACTTGATCGAGTAACGAGTTTTCCAGACAATCCAGGGTGTTCCATATGACAGCTGAACTCGTCCTGACGAGCCTGAGATTCTCGACCATTTCGACGAAGTTGCTCACTGGCTTGAAAATGGTTGTGGGAAGATCTTTGTATCTGAGGGGGTAATGCTCCGGCACTGGTTCCTCCATTATTGAATCTGCAGTTTTGTGTTAAGAATAAGGATGTGAAAACCAAGAGCTTTGACATTTCCAAGTATCGAAAATGAAAATCAGAACAAGAAAAGATTACCCTGCAGAGGGGTTTGGCCTTGGTCAATTAGTCGCAGAATGAGATCACGTGCGAGGAAGGTGGAGACAGTATTGGTGCGCAGCATGATGCTTGGGATGCCGAGAGAGTTGGCCACAGATTCAGCACGGTAGATGAGTTCATCATAAATTATGCAGCTTACCTTCCCGTTTGGCTTCTCAGATTGCATCATTCGAGCCACACGGTCCTTCAAGGGCGTGTGGCAGTTGGCGTTGACTGCTAACAAGATAGCAGGTATGTTCCCAGAAGAGATGAGGCATTCAGGTAAGCCGTCTGGTATAGGTATGAACCTGAAATCAGGGTGGTTCTTGGGACAAGGAGCGTTGAACTGGGTGTGAATTATGGAAATGGAGAACCCCCTGGAATGAAGTATGGTGCCAAGCTGAAGCATCGGATTGATGTGGCCCTGGTAAGGACATGGGACTAACACCAGATGACGTGGTCGAATCACTTCTCCTCCTTCGCTCCCCATCTAGATCTTTCTCTGTTACCTTGCACGCTACTACTGTCTGTAAACAACTGAAAATCAAACCAGCATATGATGAACTAGCAGTAGATGTGGGTACTGGGTGGTTTAAAAGGAAATCATAAAGATCTCCTTTTGGATTGGTGGGGGTGACGACGTGGATATGAATATTAAATATTGGCCATGGGGGAACGTGGGTAGCAGACGTGCACCTTGATGTCAGCTTATTGGCACGAGGAAACAGTAGAGAGATCCAGATGACATGACATGTAACTGGAAGTTCAACAACAACAAGTAAAATGCCAAGTTGCAGCAGCTTACCATAGAAAGGTATGGGAACCATATATATAACGCTTGACTTCATACCGTCTTTGTCGGTAAGCACATGTCCCGTTTCCCCAGATATGGAATTCGACATAATTCAAGCACGTGCGTTTATTTTAGTAACAGCTGGTAACAGTTTTGCTGATATTAATGACCAGTAACTGAACTATTCACTGTGGCCAAGAGATGCAAGGTACAGGACAATTCCTAGAACTTACCTGATGCCCCCAAGTTTTAAGTTTTTTCCCAGTAGTAGAATGAAGAACCACCTAATCTGGTGCCAATTTCCACGGTTTCCTTGAGAGTCCTAATCCTCTTTTCCTCATCTCTTTCCCTTCTTGATAGATCATCAATTTTCTCACCATTCCAAAAAAAACCCATCTTTCCCAACTTGTCCTCCAGCTGGAAACCCAGCTTCCATACAAGAGTCACATATCTACAGTCCCGTTTTAGTCTCCAAAATTAGGCCTGCAAATCAGGGGAACGCCTTCAGTTAATGGCTCTCGACAATGGAGTTCCATCCACAATGGATTACAAGACCCCGAGCAAGATAATTTGCTAATGATACTTGAAAGGCTCACGGAGTTGGCCACAGATTCAGAACAGTACACAAATTCATCGTAAGTGCTTCACCCTTGCTTGCAATGTGATTTCTCAAATGGCATCTTTATGCAACCCCTCAATGGCTTATGGCAGTTGGTGTTGCCAGCTTCCAAGATAGCTCGTATGTTCCCAGAAGAAATGAGGTCGTCAGATACGCCATATGGTACATAAGAACCCTGAAATAAACTGAAAATCAATGTCGATAGTTGGAGAATAGATAGGTGCGCAGTACAGCCCCATCTGAAGAAAAACATCATAACTAAATATTGACTAATGAGATAGATACTCAGCAAAGTCACAGCTTTCTTGTTCGTAGAAAAATTTCCCACTTATAACTCAAGTATTCAAATGTATCTAGTTTGAGGAAATGGAACCAAATACAAACTCATAGAGCCAGAGAGATGAAAACAAAAACCCAGGTATCATCATCTCTACTTGGCCTTTCATAAACGTACTTCGGAGAATACATGGAGAGTCTGTAACAAGAACCGATTTCCCCCACGAAAGCAAGGAAGGGATACTCGAGACTTTCATGATCAAGTCTTCTCATACACACATCGCATCATATGACAATTAACACAGAACAAAAGTCTGGCAAGCTGCTGGTTAAAACAATATGCTATGAACTGCTAGTGAATTCGAGAGAAATGTGAGGATGCAACTCACCGGGAGAACTCTGGATAGCCATCGCTCACAAAGTTTGGTTCATTGAAGTATTCCGGCAGCCTGAACCTCCTTAGGTCACGAAATTGCCGGCGCTGCGGTCGATAAGATGCCAGATAACATTATCGCCGTCCTTCGCGGCGTTCCTATAGCCGCTAATATGCAGCACACGCCACACTGTCGTCCTCCGCCTATGGATTCTCCTTTCGGCCCGGCCAGTGCCGGCGAATGTCAAGAATTCTGGATAGAGATCTCCGGGACATGATTGGAGAAATAAGAGTATCGGACGGTAAACTCCCTCAAGAGATGGCGAGGGTTGAAAGGGGAGGGCTCGTACAATGCCGATTTCATCTCTGGGATTGGGAAGCCTGGCAATCATCGGCTCATCCCCGTGCTCGCTACTCGTCTCAATGAATATTTTTGGGCATTACTATTCGTCGCCCTAAGTTTTTAAATTCTATCGCCCTAAGCAATACGAATTTACAGAACTGGCCTTCATTTAATTTTATGGTTCTTTATCAGACAGCTTCGGTGATGGAAAAACGCAGAAAGTGAGCATCATTTAGCCAACAACCGAAACTTGGAAACCTGCAACAGAATCAAAACGAGTAGCCACAACCACCCACTGCAAAGTAAGAGCTAGAAAGACCAATACATCCAGACGGTGCCACAGTCAAAATCTATCGAAAGATTCACAAGAAACCGAGCATCCGTCGCAGTCCAAATTGAGCATCAGAACAACAATCAATCCATTGTATATCAGACACAACTCTAGATAAAGAACGCTAAGCTAACATCGGTAACCCTGCCTACAGCCTGCCGGCGACGGTTTTCAACCCGCATCATCGGAGATACACCAAATATAATATAAAAAATTAAGGACGGCAGCAAGCGGCGAGGGCAGCGAACAACGACGACCGGCCTTCTTCAACAACGGCAGCAATGGCGACGTTTGGTCTTCTCGCCTCGATGGCCGGGTGCGATCGGTCGGAAGCAGAGGTCGGACATACAGGAGATGGCGACGAACCCATCCTTCCTATTTCGGTGGCGTTCTTCTCGTCGGGAAGAGAGCATACGACGGCGGCGAGTTTTCGTCGAGAGGTGCGGGAAAGTTAGGTCGGCGGCTTTGATGGGGAGAGGAGAAAGGGCGTTAGGATATTTTGTGGCCAGGGGCAAAATTGTCTCTTTATATAAGTTTAGGGCGATAAATTCAAATATTTAGGGCGACGAATAGAAATTCAGATATTTGTGGGGGTTAATTCACTTTAGACCCCCTGTATTGTGCCCTTGTAGCAAAACGGCCCCTCAATTAGTAAATGTACCTGTTGTCGTTGACAATTTGCAAGTAAATTTGGGAAGAGGAAGCTCAGTCTGACAAGCTGAGTACTCTATTCCTTTTATAGCTAGGAAATCAAATTAGAAGTATCAGTACCAGTGTCCAAATTCTATTGGCCTATTAGCAAACTAACAATGGTTTGTTAGCGACTAACAACAATAAATATAACGACAACGTTTTGGTAATAAGACTAAATAGGAGAATAAAGCTACGACACTATTTCCTGCTCTTCTTCTTCTTCCTGACATAATCCGCAAGTCTTCAGGATTTTTCTTCTTCTGCAAACCTTTGCTAACCTTCTGCCTCAATACCTTGACATCTCCCCTCAAGTTGGCGATTCAATTCCATCTTTAGTCCCCAACTTGACCAATAACTTAGCAATTTGAAACCTGTCCAATCCTTTAGTGAACAAATCTGCTAGCTGGTTTGCAGTTCCAACATGTTGAAGCTTGATCAGTCCACTCTTGATTCTTTCTCTTGTAACATGCATATCTATCTCTATATGCTTGGTTCTTTCATGGAAAACAGGGTTCTCTGCGATGTGTATTGTTGATTTGTTGTCACAATAGATTGGTATATGAAGAGGTACATGTACTGTTAACTCAGCAAGCAGTCTTCTTAGCCATTGTACTTCACAAACCAAGTGTGTAAGAGCTCTATACTCTGCCTCTGAAGAAGATCTAGACACTATTGTATGCTTCTTTGTCTTCCAAGTGATAAGTGATGATCCAAGGAATGTGTAATATCCTGTCACAGTTCTCCTAGTATCAGGGCAACTTACCCAATCAGAATCACAATAGCCAATCAACTTCAACTCTGTCGTGCTGCTAAAGTGGATTCCTTGTCCTAGTGAGTTCTTTAGGTACCTGAGAACTCTATAGGCTGCCTGCATATGCTCTTTACAAGGATTCTTCTGGTATTGGCACAGTTGTTGTAGTGGGAATGCCACATCATGCCTTGTAATTGTTAAATAATTCAATCTTCCAATCAATCTTCTGTATCTTTCTCCATCTTCTAACAAAGTTCATTTTGCCGTCAATTTTACCTTACAATCCATAGGTGACTTACATCCTTTGTCTTCAAGGTAACCAGTGTCCTTTAGTAGATTAGTATAGCATTTCCTCTGACAAACAATTATCCCTGAATCATTTCTGATAATTTCCAACCCCAGAAAGTATTTCAATGGTCCTAGCATCTTCAATTTGAATTCCTTGCTTAGAGTTGTCTGTGCCTGATCTATATCTTTCTGAGCATCACCACCTATGATGGTGTCATCCACATACACTAGAAGTATCACCACTTTGCCATGAACCCATTGTGTAAACACTTAATAATCTGAAGCAGATTGAGCAAAGCCAAGTCTCATCAGATAGCTTGTAAGCTTTGCAAACCACTGTCTGGATGCTTGTTAGAGTCCATAAAGAGACTTTTTAAGTCTGCAAACCATGGTTTGACCATTAAACTCTGGTACTTTGACACCCAGTGGGATCTTCATAAACACTTCTTCCTCCAAATCTCCATGTAAAAAGGTATTTGATACATCTAGTTGTTCTAAAACTCATTTCTTCACACTAGCAATTGCCAGAAAGGCTTTGGCTGAATTGATTTTGGCAGCTAGTGAGTAGGTGTCCAGAAAATCAATCTCATGCACTTATGTGAACCCTTTTGCCACTAATTTGGCATTTTCCCTTTCTAGATAACTATCTTGCTTCAGTTTGAGCTTGAATACCCACTTGTTGCCAATTGACTTCTTTCCTTTGGAAAGTGGAACTATGTCCCATGTTTGATTTTCTTCAAGTGAGTATATCTCATTGTTGATAGCCTTGTTCCATTCATCACTCTTGATGGCTTCATAATAAGAAGTTGGTTCAAACATGTTTATGACATTCATTGCATAGGTTCTGTTTGATGGAGTCAAATGATCCACATTGAGACAGATTGGATACCTGGACCAAGCATTAGCCTTCTTAAAATTATCAACATGCAATGTATCATCAAGATAATAATCATTGTATTTTGTTGGAAGTTTCCATGTTCTCTTTGGTCTTAGATCCCCAACTACATGCTCATCATCAAGGTCAACATCTTGCTGAGGCATTAACTCATAACCATCTGAATCAAAATACTCACACTGATGAATGGAATTGTTGTTGTTCTCACCTGTTTCGGGACCTATCTCGGTAGAATGCCACTCATCATCCTTGGATGAAAGAGACTGAGCAGGAAGAAGTTCTTAGGGAACATGTGGAATGTGGATAGGAGGTGCAGTGGGAGTGGAAGGAAATACAGGTGTCACTGGTGCTGAAGGAGAAGGATCTTCAGCTGATTCACTAGCATAGTGCTTGAAAGGCAATATATCTTCATAAAATATCACATTCCTTGAGATGGACACTGTGTAATCTTGTATGTTCAATAACTTGTACCCCTTAACAACTAGAGGTAAGCCCAGAAAAATGCATTGTTTTGCTCTGGGATCAAAATTTGTTCTGTCTTGGGTTAATGTACTAGCATAACACAGGCTGCCAAACACTCTTAGGTTCCCTAAGAAAGGTGGTTGTTTGTAAAGAACTTCATATGGGGACTTTTTATCAAGGATTGGTGTTGGCATTCTATTTATGATATATACTGCATGAAGAATGCAGTCACTCCAAAATTCTAGTGGTACTCCAGATTGGAATCTCCAGCATCAGTCAACATTAAGAATATGTTGGTGCTTCCTTTCCACCCTACCATTCTGTTATGGTATCTCTACACAGGAGATCTAATGTTCAATTCCTTCCATTCTATAGTAATCACACATGTCAAACACTTTCCCTTGGTCACTTCTTACAATCTTCACAGTGGTATTAAACTGGTTCTTAACCAAATTACAGAAACCCTGTAATAAGCCTCTTGCCTCATTCTTATGATGCATCAAATAAACCCTGACAACTCGTGAACAATCATCAAAAATTGTAAGAAAATAACTGTAACCATCATAAGAAACAATAGAAAGTGGTCCCCAAATATCCACATGGATTAGCTGAAACACATATGAGACAATGTTGGTGCTAACAAGAAAAGGAAGTTTCTTATGTTTAGACAAATGGAAAATCTCACAATGTTGAATTCTATGACTAGTTACAATTGGATTGTGTCGATGTAACAGGGACAATCTATCATAACTAGGATGGACTAATCTCCAGCGCCACAGGTCAAGGTTTTGAGGTTGGAAATTGAAGGTAAAAGTTGCTTGGTGTTTAGGTGATGGCTGCAAAGTCTTGGTCTGGTTTGAAGAAATGGTCTTGGTCTGGCTTCGAGGAAAGGTAAGTTGATATAGTCCCTTAGATTCTTTTGCTAAACCAATCCTCGTCATGCTTAACAGGTCCTAAATTTCACGATGATCAGATTGGAAATGTAAGGATAAGGGAAAGTCTCTGGTTAGTTTACTCATTAAAATGAGATTAAATGTGAAACTGTGAACTAATAAAACATCATATAAGAACAGTCTCGAGGGCAGTTTGACAGTCCCTACATGTGAAACTAACACCTTGCTCCTGTTTGGTAGATAAACAAAGGTGTCAATAGTAGTCCTAGTTTCACATAAAAGTGTTTTGCAACATGCTATATGGTCTGAAGCACCTGTATCAAGAATCCATAGATCTAGATGGGCTATCTTGGGTTGTTGGAAGGACGAATGGATGTATTTACCTGAATAATTAGGAAAGGGACTTAAATATTGAGAAACAAAAGAAGCTTGATGATTGATGGATGGGGAATTTGATGGAGAAGGTGATGTGTTATCACCAACTTGCAACATATATCTCAGCGTGTTCATTTCTTCAGCTGCAAATCCAAGAGATACCTGATTAGCACTTCCTTATGTTGAAGAAATCCCTTCTGATTGAGTACAACAAATTGATTGATTAAACCAGCAAATCTAGGTGCCCCTGAACTGGTGTTAGAACCTGAGCTTGCTCCATCCTTCTGCTCTCTTGTTTCTTTTTCAACTTCCAGCAATCTTCAATTGTATGGTTTCTCATCTTGTAGAACCTACAAACTTCCTGCTCTGTCTACCTTCAGTAGACTCCCTTCATTTT